AGCCATTGGAAGCCATGTGCAAGGCACGCCCCATCCTCGGCAAATATTTTCATTAAGAACCTTGCAAGAGTTCTATTTTCTTGAAATTTATGTGTTGCTACTGGTTTTTACTTTATTTTAGTATCTTAATCATTAAGTATTGTTATCAAGATAATATAATAACCAAAATCATCACATTAATATTATTATCCAACATTATCATCATCATCATCAATAATACTATAAATTTCATCGTCATTAAAAATTTTCTTATTAAATATTAATCTAATTTTATTGTTATTACACAAATCAAACGGTCTTAGTGGTTAAATGATCTTATTATTTTTTAAGATTTTGAGTTCAAGTACTACGTCTATAAAGATGTATGAATATTTAATGTTAAATGATTAAAAATCTTTCCAACAAATATTACTTTATATTCATCTTAAACAAATAAAATATATATTATCATTACTGATACATAATATTATTAAATTATTGTTTATCGAAGAAACCAAATTTTTTTTACTAAGTAGTAATATTATTAATACTATTTTACTTATTAATACACTTTTATTTGAAATTTCAACTATCCATCCTTAAACTAAAATTATTTATAAATGTATTCTATATTAAATGCTAAAAATTATATAGTTTTATGATGTGACTAGAATAGGGACCAAATTGCAAGAAGACAAATCCATTTGGATACTTTTAAGCTTGTATCGCCATCGGCATCACACTATTTCCATTGACCCAGTAAATGCCTGAACTGTCCTCTACTATGCGACAAATACCCATATTGTTACGAGGGCATTTAAAGCATTTCGCAATGCAATATTTCTCGGCATGTTGTGGTTCATAAACTCAACCAAGGGACTCATCTTCAATCATTCAAGCAACTACTGCAAATCAATGGGAAAGTTTCACTGTGATAAACCCCATTACTCTTTATGTTTGCTTATTTTTCTGGTCATTCTCTTCTCAAATCAGTTGCTTTCTTCAGCATACACACTTCCAGACCAGTATTTCATCAACTGTGATCAAACATGGACATAAACGTCAGTTCCCGGACCACCTTCATCGGCGACTTGAATTCTGATTCGGTTTCATTCACTAAAGGAAGCAGCTTTGTCACAGACAACAGTCGGGCATCAGACACACGATCCCTATATCAAACTGCAAGAATTTTCCTGCACAAGTCTTCATATGAGTTCAAAATCAATACTAATGGCACCTACCTGGTACGCCTTCATTTCTCCCAACTGAGAATTGAAGATGCCAGATAAATAAAGTTAATATTTTTATTACATCTGCAACTATATGTATACATTCAGCCACGTAGACAACTTACATATATAATATATGTACCAACACTGCAGTCCTGAGAAATTACAAACCAGAAGATCGAAAACGAACATAAATCCGAAGGAGAGATCCGTACTAGTGACCAGGACCTTTTCTGCTCGGTCCGGAATCCGTAGTTGACCGCTGTTATCTTCGACAGGATTTGAAGTTGAACCTATGCTAACATTTTCAACCTCGGGAACAGCTTCCCCGGTCGCATCTCCGGTTTCTTTGTCGATTGAAGAGTTCTAGAAGAAGCAACAGATGGTGAAGGAACGAGCATGGCGGACACCACCAGAACAAGGCACAAGAACTGTTTCATTGTTAATGTTTGTAATTCTTGTCCTGTGGTCTTCGCATGTCTTAATGTCGTAACCGCACCCCTTTGTATAATAAAAATTCCTAAGGTTTTCAAAATATTCTTTCCATAAAGAGCGGAGCTAAAAAAGAATGGTTAAGCATCTCCATTGAATGAGAAACCTCCCCTTTTACAACGTGGCAAAGGAAAAGAATGGCTTATGGCCTTTCGGAGTGGTTCCATTAATGGAAATATTTGACCGAGCTTTCTAGGTTCGAATCTAAGTGTCAGATATGAATTTATGATCAAAGCAAACAAAATTAATTTTTAAAATTCTGAAAGATTAGAGTTTTTATTAGTCTCATTACGATTCGTCTCATATATATCAAACACGAATTTTTTAGTATTTTTTTCTAGGATAAATATGAATCCGAAGAACAGCAAACTGCGATTAAAAATTTATGGTGCAAGTCCTATATCATCCCAATCTATACAAAGATAGAAATTAATGAAGTTATCCCTATTTACAGGTTGGTTTGACAATCTACATTTGATAGCATCCTTGAGCATATCTTACATCTGAATATGCTTCCTTGAAACACCCTAAAATTTCCCACCCTCCGAATATAATAGATAAAGGAACTCCAAGTCAACTTCAGAATAATAGTGATCAGAGACTTGTCATCCAGAACCTGAATGGCCCAAAAAATCTCAACTCGCCAATCAAACACATTTCTCAGCAACGCACACAATCTCAAAAAACACACTACATGTCTAAAGAAAACACAATCAAACAAGATACGGTTTGTCGGTTCAGACTCCATCTCACTCATCATCCACTTGCACCCCAAAGGTTAATAACCTATCTTATTACTAAATAGGGAGTCTATTTGAAATGATCATCCACATAATCACTAAATGTCTAAGAATGTGAAAAGCATGTCAAACTAATCTTTGTTATTATACTTTTTTCCCTTCTCGGTCTAATAGCTTCTCAAACTTTCCTCGAAGTCACACTTAAGTTCATGATCAAAAGCTGCATAAATAATACATCTCAATTTGAGCAACCTCCTCCATAAATGACTATGACTAGACGTAGACCTATCCATCTACAAATGCGACATGTGACACGTTACAAGGTTGCGTGATTTACATTTTGGAAAAAAAAGGGGTAAACTATATCAGTGATCATCCAACTAATGCTCATTTTCATTTTGACCATCATTTTTGAATTCTTGTCAATCAGGCCACCCAATTATTTAAATGCATTCAATCAGACCACTAGCCTTTAACATTTAACAGAAGTTCTGATGTGGCTGTTAATAAAAGTAGTATAATTACAAATATGATCATCAATATTTATATATTCTATTAATTTGGTCATAATTTTAATTTATAAAATAATATCAATTAGATGACAACACATGTCCCAACTAGATTGAAAGATAATTTATTAATTTTAATTATTTAATTTATTTTATATCATGTCCAATAATACGTTTAATGCAAAAACATCATAAGTATTTGCAGCCAAAGAAAATCGAACCAAAGAACTTTGGCTCTTCCTATGCATGCCTAAGCCATTAGGCTAGGCTATCCAAATAGTTTACTTTCACAATATTATTATATAATTTATTACTAATAATGGCAGAGCAAAAATGGAAATTACATAAAGGGATTTAAATTTGGGAATTAAAGAGAATGTAAACACCTTAATCATTAAATTATATTCGATTAAAAACCATAATATTATATATATATATATATATTATATATTATTATATATTATAATATAAATAAGAAGATTTTAGATTTTTAAATTATATTTATTTTATATATAATCATTAAATTATTTTTATATATAATTTGATTTTTTAAAATAATTTAATGATTATATATAAAAAATAATTTAAGTAATTATTTAATGAAAAAATATTTCAAGTGTAGAATTATTAAATCGCATGTTAACAGAACTAAAGAAGAAGAAAGCAAGCAGTGAAAAGATTTGATAAACTTTTTTTCCTAGATTCATTGTTAGCAGTATGTAGATTTATATTCATAATGTTGTGAAAATATACCAATTGGATGGCTTAGCCTAACGGCTTTGGCGTGTGCAGGGGGTGCCAACGGTCTTTGATTCATTATTAGATTCATCATAGAGGGGTACTCATAATGATTAGACATGAAATAAAATAAATTAAGGGCATTACTAAACTTTCCAGGTTAAATCAGCCAATATATTGAAAATAATAAAAAAATTAGTCAAACATGTTGGAAACAACAATTTTTTTGCTGTCAGATTTTTTTACTGTCAAGATGTTAAAAATTACAAACTTTTTTTTAAAATTACAAAATTTAACTAAATACATTTAATTACAAAACCAAATATAATCATATATATAAATGATCTAATTTTGATTTTTAGGTATACTTTACTTTCTTCTTAACACTACAAGGTAATTTTGATTTTTAAGTACATTTCACTTTCTTCTCAACAGTGCATAATCCTAACTCAACCAGCCATCTCCATTCTCGTTTCGATCTCCAAACTGAGTCCAACCCGTAACCCATTCATCCCCTCCGGCAGTAAGTTAATAACAAATGATACCGGAAAAGGCTTGACAGAAAAAGTGGCAGCCATGAATTGTGTCCGGCAAGCCTCGATCTTGCCAGAGGGAACGAATATGTGGTTGTAGGGCTGATTTTTTATTTTATTTTATATAATTTTATTTTAAAGAGAGGTTGGGAGTCTTAAGTTCTATCTCATTTTATTGTAGGGCTGATTTTTTATTTTATTTTATTTTATTGTAGATGTGGGAGTATCAGGGTCTGATTATTTATTTTATTTTATATAATTGTATTTTATTCTATCTTTTTTATTTTGTTGCAGGAATCTTGTTCTCATTTGACACATAAAAATGTCATTTTTTCTGAAAACAACTCAAATGGTGTTGAATTTTCTACATCGACGTCGCCTTTTTTCTCTAATCAGGTAAAACAATCACATATTATAATTTTTTATTTTATTTACTACTATATATATTTTGCAAGAGAATATCGTCATAAATGAAAATAAATTGAATTTTAGGTGTTTCGCTTTCACGAAGATTTAAAAAATTGGGCGCAAAGCAAGGGGCGCTCTCTTGGTTACGTCATAATAACTCAAAGATCATACACGGATACAAGTGGTTTTTTGTATGAAGTCACGCTTATGAGTGATCTTGGTGGTGAATATAAACAGAAGGAAACAAGTAAAAATTTTGCTACATGAAAAATTAATTGTCCATTCCAATTGATAGGAAAGTATTAAAGTATATATAATGGTTGGTTGATAAGTGTAATATGTGATGAATATAATCATATTCCTACACAACATATGGAGGGGCATCCATATGCGAGACGATCTAAAGATGAATATCGATTGGTTGAAGATATGACAAAGAAAAATGTGCCGTCACGTGACATTCTATCGATATTAAAGTCGCAAAATGAAAATAACGTGTCAACACTTAAAGACATATGTAATGCACAATATAAAATTCGCAAGTCCTTACAAGTTGAGAAAAGTATGATGCAGGTAAAACATTACACATCTTTTTCTGTTTCCTTTATATTTTGTATGAAAATTTGAATGCAGGTTCTTATGTCTCTTTTACACTCCAATGGTTATGTTCACGACTTTTCTACAAATGATGTTACGAATGAGCTAGAAGCTTTATTTTTTGTTCATCCGACATCTTTTAAGATATGGCGTGCATTCCCACATGTGTTGATGATAGATGCTACGTACAAGACGAACAAGTATAATATGTCTTTTGTTGAGATTGTTGGCGTAACTTCTACAAGAAAGATATTTTGTATAGCTTTTGCCTTTATAAGTGAAGAAAAGATGGACAACTATAAGTGGGTGTTAGAGTGTTTAAAGTTGACACTAGATGAGTGCATGCTACCACGTGTTACAATTACCGACAAAGAGTTGGCTCTCATGAAAGCATGCAAAAAGTTTTTCCAAATGCTACTCGATTACTTTGTAGATGGCACATTAGTAAAAATATTTTGAAGAATTGCATGCCAACAATTAGGCGATGATGGGAACAATGAGTTGTTTTTTATCACAATAAGAGATTGGTATTGTGAGAGAGGTGACTTACTTGAAGAAATAGGAATTAGGGATTGCTAAATTTGAAGTTAGCTTGCTTATTCTGTTTGGAGAAGCTTTACACGTGAACCCATTATTTTTTTAAGTTTAAGAATTGCAACTTTTTATAATAATAAAAAAATTCTTTAATATTCAATCCAAAAAAATTCTTTAAAATATATTAAAAAATTCTTTAATATATGTTAAAAGACATTTTCTTTTAAAAATACATATAAATAAATATATTTATCTAAATTATTTAAATTTTTTAATAATTATTTAAATTGAATATTCCTTATTTTTAATAACTATTTTAAATTATTTAAATTATTTTTTATTTATCTAAATTTTCTATATTTTTCTAATTTTTAATAATTATGTTTAGTTATATTAGAGGTAATTTTTCAACTTCCCTCCAAATAAAATTTACCTTCCCTCTAATAAAATTGAATATTCCTTATTCGTTGTAGGATTTTTTCTCATTCATAATGAATCATTATTGCTTTCCTTATTCATTGATTTTCATTTTATAAAAACATATGTGTATTTGATTTCCTTTAGGGTTGAGAATACTATCATAAACAATGACATCGAGATGCGAGCATCAAACCGTTCCACTGTCAGTTCTACTGAAACGAGAATTAGCGAGTGAGAAAATTGAAGACCCGGAGATTGTGCACGGACAAACTAGCCATGGCAAGAAAGGTGAAGATTTTACGTTGCTTAAAACAGAATGCAAAAGAGCGATGGGAGATGGTTTCACCACATTCTCAGTTTATGGGGTATGAATTTTTGGTCTCTCATACTAACTAAATCGTCACTAATCACATACTTTATACTCTGTTCTTGAAGTGTCTGATTAACTATAAAATCTTATAATTCAAATCACTAGAATATGAATATTTATGAACTTTTGTTTGATAGTTATATTGATGTATTTATCCGTATAATTTGTTTGATTTGACACACATATACATATCATTTCTTTCTTTTCTTATGTAATTTTTTCATTTATAGGTTGGTCTTTCTAAACCTTTTTTTTGGGCAGCTCTTTGATGGACACAATGGATTTGCTGCTGCTATTTACACCAAAGAGAATCTTCTAAATAATGTTCTAAGTGCCATGCCAGCAGATCTTAATAGAGATGAATGGATTGCTGCCCTTCCAAGAGCTTTGGTTCCATGTAATTGTTTGTTTTCTTTTAAATTTATTTTCTTTACTGTTAAATATGGGTTTTTTTCGATATTGTTGAATTCATATGGTTTAGGGTTAGTTTTATTATTCGATTTCTGATTTTTTGCTAGTCGCTTCTGCTTTTTACAAAATAATTGTTAGTTTTTTTCTTTTAAATTTTGCTAAACTCTGCTGCTTTTTACAAAATAATTGTTAGTTTTTTCTTTTTAAATTTTGCTAAACGCTGCTGCTTTTATTATTTGATATTGTGCAATTGGATTGGAAAGCTCATTCAAAACCATGTGCATGTCTTGTTTCCTTTTCGCATTGATAATTCTTCATTTAATAAATAAATGTTGATGATTTAAAATTTCACCTTCACAAGGTATGCTCAAATTCTACTATGTTTTTATGATTCCTTGAGGTGCATGGGTTTGTGAATTCTGAATTTATATCATTCTTTTTTGTTTATGTTAATTTATTTACATTTCCATTTAAACTGATTGAATATTGTTATTAGCATCATTTCAGTGTAAGTTTGCAAAATTCTACAATTTAGCATAATTATCAATGTAGTTGGATTGCAAATGAATCATTCTCTCAGTGTAACTGGACTATTGTGCTTATGAATTAAGTTGTAGAATGCTCTGCCAGTGGAGAGTAGTTGTGCTATAATAATTGATGATTTTGGTTGTGGTTTAATACGCTTTTGCAGTTCCTCTAATATCTAAGAGCAATTGATTGCAAAAGCTGGTGAAAGTATTTAAAATAGTTTTTTATATGTTTTAGGATGGCACCAGGCAAAGTATCTCGTAAAAGGATTCGAACACAAGAAAATGAAACTCAAAATGTCTTCAGTAAACTAAATCAAACCCAAGAATCTGAACCTCAACAAGTTATTGATGCTCCAAATCAACCACATGAAGAAATTGATCCAGATACAACAATTGAAAGTTCAGGTAAACATTATTTCCAATATTTATATAAATGAATAGCAAATGAGGATTGAGTAGTAACAATGACATAGTTAAAAAATATAAAAACTAAGAATATGTATATATACATATTATTTTCTTTGTAACAAAGTCTTTGACTTTAACGTTGAATAATTTATTTTTTTATTATTCTAAAGTTAATATCTTTTTTCTATATATTCAGTCAATTTATCACATAAAAAGGTACGAGGACCAAGTCAAGGTAAGGGACTAGAAAATCTCATTAAAGGTAAAAATAAGTTGATAGTAGATATACCAGAGGGAAAGGGTCGACCTATTGATGCAGTTCAATCATCCAAATTTTCTTCTGAAATTGGAATCATTTCTCAACAATTCATACCGATACAAACAAAATGGAAAGATATGAAGGATAATGATAAACTTCATGCCCTAGAGAGACTCAAAGTGAGTTTATTTAGTTTATTTTTTCTTATTTTTTTTAATATTTATGTACTTCATTTATCTAATTATATATTTTTAATGTTTTAGTCAAAGTTTGAGATGAAATTAGATGATGATTATGTGAAGAACTCTGTCATATCAATTATGTCAAAGTTATCAAGGATCCATCGACATTTAAACATTTTTATATTTATAGAAATGAAATTATTATCTATTTAATGAAATATTTGTTTAAATCTTATTATTTTGCAATAAGTGAATTATTTTATTTTTTATTTGTATTTGTATAAATATTTTTATTTTAATATATATTGTCATTAAAAATGTCATAGAATATAAATTATTTGTGTTTTGCTACAATATTTCTTTCATCACATATAAGTTGATTTTAATGCATTATTTGTGACAATATAAATTATCAATAACGAAATCTTATTTAATTTAGTGACGTAACGAATTGTCATAGAATATAAATTATAAAGTGATGTTATGCATAAACGTCATTCATAATATTATTAGGTAACATTTATATTATGTCACTAAAAATGTGAAAATATCTCTTTCGTCACATAAAGGTTGACTTTAATGTATTATCCATGACGATATAAATCATCAATAACAAAATTTTACATAATTTAGTGACATGCATAGTTTCCATTGAATATTAATTATATAGTGACGTTATATATAAATGGCATCCATACTACTATTACGTGACGATATACTACGTTACTAACAATGCGACAATTTTCTTTACGTCACGTATACAATGAAATTATTGTGTTATTGGTGACAATATGATTTATTAATGACGAAAATGTACATCATTTGGTGACAAAAGTAATTGTCACTAAATGCAAATTAAACTGTGACGTTATCTATTAGCGTCACTATATATTTAACAATACATGACGATAACACATACATCGTCACTTTTGACATTTAGTGACACACCTAGGGTGACGATCGTCGTGACATTGACTTTTACGTCACAAAATACATCTAGTGGCATAAATTGAAGTTTTAGTGACAATAACCTAGATGCCACTAATAAGAAAATTTGTTGTAGTGGAACTACAAGCAACTTCAATTAGTGTTGAGGAAATATCCACGTAATTTTTTATATATTTGACATATTTTTTATTTTTTAATATTTCATATCAAATAATTTTATTTTAATTTTATTTAACTTTTCAGGTGTTTTAAGTTATTTGGATGAACAATGGTTGAATAATTATAAAGAAAGGTTTGTGTCTGCATGGAGTGATCAGTCTCTCAACTTTGGCAATCGCACAACCAACAGAGTTGAAAGCCAACACGCCAAGTTAAAAAAGTACTTGAAATCCAAAAAAATATTCATTAGATCAATTTGTGGGCTATATCAATCAAATTGTGCAGTCCCAGGTAACAACAATAAATGAAAGCTTTGAAAGGAGTAGAATTTATCGTTATCATCAACATAACCAGCCATGTTTTAACTTATTATGGGGTTTTGTTTCAAATGAGGCTCTTGATATGATTTTAGGGAGAACTACATCGATTGAGTGATCTTGAGTTTAACTACTCAACATGTGGTTGTCAACTTCGTAAGAGTTGTGGGCTACCTTGTACTTGCGTACTTTCAGCGTACTTAAATTCGGGTCAGTTTATTTAACTAAAATCATTTGATTATTTGGAGGTCTTGGTTTTTTAGAAACTAAAACTTGTTTTTTCAGGTGAGGATATTCCTTTGGATTCAATTGATATTTTTTGGACACTAGATGTTTCATGGTCAACACCCTTGGAAAATGAAGATATTCAATGTGACGATGAACTACACATTTTCAAAGAAGAATTCAAAAAGCGGACCAACGCTGGAAAGAAGAGTTTCTTAAGAAAGTTAGGCGATATATTTAATCCAAGCAAAAATCTTATTAGAGAACCCGCAGTTAAAAAAAATACTCGAGGGCGGCCAAGCCTGAGGAAACAAAAAAAAAGAAGTGTGTTGATCCGAAAAATCAAGATCCTGGTAAAAGTAGTTATTCCACCAATTTTTTGATATAGACTTGAATTTGGAACCAACAAATATTGAAACGGCGAGACACAGTTCATATGTAACAAGCGCACGCGACTTGTTCCCGGATTTAAACGAAGAACCCGCGAGACACAGTTCATATGTAAGCCAGTCGTTTGCCAGACCTGGTTCGGAAAATTATTTGAAACAACTTCCACAAATTTTCTGTCCTTATCTTACAGGTTTACAAGATGTAATAGGTGACAGAAATTGTGGATTTCGATCAGTCGTTGTCGCTCTTGGTCTATCTGAGGATCAATGGCCTCGAATTCGGTCAGACTTGGTGCGGGAGTTAGATGTTAACCAGCAAAAGTATAAGTATATATTTGGAACGGCAGGTTATAAAAAATCTATAAAACCGTACAATTAGCTGGAAAATGGATGGAAATGCCAAATACGAGATTGATTATTGCTTCTGCATACAATAGAGTTGTTATAAGTCTAGCTAATGGAGGAAACGTCAGAGGTTGTACTACGATTTTCCCGCTTTGGTCCAGTCCACCAAAATCAGAGCCACATGGGACAATCGTCATTGCACATGTGAATGATAACCATTATATTAAAGCGGCATTACGCGAAGGTTGTCCTTTGCCGATGACTCATCCACTTTGGATCACATATAAAAGTGACATTGCATCTGCATGTGAAGACCTATGTGTTAGTCGTCAGGAAGAGTTTCATGAATATTATTTTTGTATTCCTGAAACTTTTGACCTATCGAAGTAATTATGTAACGTTCAATTTATTGTAATTCTAGTTTATTTATCAATGAATGTTTTAATATTTTCTTTTTTATACATGTATGCATAATTAAATAAGTAAAAAATATAACAAAAATTAAAAAAATAAATAATTATTACCATGTTGAAATAAATGAAAAATATTTTAATAGAAAACTTTAATAAAAGAAATAAAAAGACATCATTATTACATAATGATAAAAAGCTTTAATAAAAAATGAAAAACATAATCATTATATTAATCTTTTGGTGTTTTAATAAAAAAATGAAAACAAATATAATCATTACACTAATCTTTTGGTAGGTTTAATAAAAAAATTGATATATTTAGACTAACCCATAAATTAAATAATTAAAATTAATAAATTATCTTCCACTCTAGTTGTGGCATGTGTCGTCATCTAATTGGACATTAATTTTATTAAATTACATTAAAATTATAACCAAATTAATAGAATACATAAATATTGAGAATTGAATGTGATATTATACCATTTTTATTAACAGTTACGTCAGCACTTCCGTTAAATACTAACTACAAGTGGTCTGATTGAAGGCATTTAAATAATCGGATAGTCTGATTGACAATAATTCAAAAATGGTGATCAAAATGAAAAATGAAAATAATTGGGTGGTCACTGATATAGTTTACCCAAGAAATATCACGATTTTGCTTTTAAGAGTGTCCGAAGGATGACACTTTTTAATAAAAGTTCACGATTATAGAGTTGTTTTGTGACGTTGTCTTAGTTTTATATATTTGGAATCTTTTTTTATTTTACAAGAAACAATCATAATATTATAAATTTTGATATTTTATAATTTTATTTTAGTATAAAATATTTTAAAAGTCGCATTTAAAAAAACAACCTATAGTCTGTACATCATTTAAGAGAAGCCTGATTGCATCTCAACTTGAACTCGATTTTATTTACAACAAGAACAGAGCAGCTGGCCTTCTTCAAACAGTAGCTGCTTAAACTGTGTTGAAGTATCACGAGTTTTATTTTAGTGCATTAAAAGACTAAAACAGAACAAAGGACCTTTGTGAATTATTAAGCTTTGATTAAGGGGGGGAAGAAATCAATGCTACGTAAACGTGTAAGATAAATTTTAAGTTTTAAAATATTAAAAAAATCCATAAATCTTATTTTTGTTAAAAGATTATATCTGTATTTTCACCTTAAGCACGCGGTTTATTTATACGGGACTATATATATTTAGTTTTATTTATTAATACATCTTAAAAGCAACCATATATATATAATCCAAAACTTGTCTTGATATTGTGTCCTACACAATCCATTCTTCAACTGAATCATGGATCAAACGTTATTGATGTATGGTTTTCCGGTGATTTCAGAGATAAATCTATCAAAGTTCCGATTAGAAGAACCACCATCTTCCAGTGCTTTCTTAGCAGCCTCTTTCAACTCCATTGCCCTTCTTTTCATCTCCATGGCTCCTGGTCCATCAATCACCTCCATAATACACCTCTCAACCTCTTCCACGTTCAGTCCCTCTTCTCCACAGTTCCTCATCCTCACGCCAATCTTGAAAAAATCAACCAGCAGCTTTGAATTCGTCGGTTGATCCGTCCACTCCGGATACGCGACTACCGGCACGCCGGCCACCACGGTTTCCAGCGTCGAATTCCATCCGCAATGTGTCACGAAACAAGCCACTGCTCGGTTCATCAACACTTTCTCTTGAGGGCACCATGAAACAACGAGGCCCCATTTCTCCTTTTTGATCTCTTCCAAAAATCCGCTAGGGAACTCGTCTTTTCTCGAGTTTGATGCTTTAACGACCCAGAGGAATGGTCTTTTGATGTTCTTCAATGCCGTGGCGATGCTATGAATTTGATTCTCTGATGACATAATGATGCTACCGAATGAGATGTAGATCACCGAGGACGACTCTTGCTTCTTGAGCCATTCGATGCAATAATCCTGTGCTCTCCACATATCAACACTTCCTTCAATTGTTTCTTCCTTTCCTAGTAGGATGGGTGACACCAATGGACCAATCGGATAAATCGGTCTAACCAATGCCAAAGAGTTCACAGTCTCCTCTTCAAGTTCATGAACCGAATTCCCTAAAACCCATTTTACCTTATTCAAAACTGAAACGAATTCGGTGACCCATAGCCGGAAATGTGGAGGGCTAATAGGTAACATGAAAGTCGGAAGATCACCTACTGTGAGCTCTTGCATTCCAGGAAGTTTTGCAATCCCATTAGGGTTTTCCAAGCTGGGAAACAAGTTTGGACTCTTAATACAATGATAATAAATGGAGAAAACAGTTGAAGATTGGATCCAAAGTACACCACAAGGGATCCCATGTTCAGTGGCAACTCCTGGCACCCAAGGGATAAAAGGGCTGGTAATAAGGCATGAGAATTGATTGCCGTTAGCCTTGAGATCAGTAATGAGATTCGAGACATTCGTGGGTCCGTTTGCCTTAAGTGAGGCGAGGAACGTCCCGGTGTCCTTATCGCGATCGAACTCGTGGCTAAGACCGTCGGAGAAGAACTCAAGAGTGAGACGACCGGGGCTGTTCTTGGAGATGAAGTTGGTGGAGATATTAGAGTCCAGCATGCGCTTACGTGCAACATCGTTGGTGGCAAGGGTGACATGAACCCCCTTTGATACAAGCACTTTGGCCAGCTTCAACATGGGGTTCATGTGACCTTGCAGGGCTAGGCTCACCATTATCACTTGAACTTCTTCAGAACTCACCATTGCTTTTCGAGGACAAGACACACTATTTGATTAAGGGGGTGTGATTAAATTTTTAGTGTCCCCTTATTGATTTATATGCAATGTATATTTTAGGAAATATTTATTTTATTGAAGTATCTCTCCTTGTATGGCAGGGTATTTTTGATTAATAGTATTCCCACTCATAAAATTTAAGTAGAGATTTTGTTTTCCTTTTCTTGAAGAATTAGGTACACTGGCAGATTTTTTACCTTATATGTTTTATTTTAGGGTCATGCCCCCAAGTTTTTTTTTTAATTCAATTCCAGGTTCCTACAAGTTTTTATATATATATATATACATGCATCCACTCTAGTGCTAATTACTAGGGATTGGATTTTCAAGAGAAATTTTGAAACAGAAAAAAGGTTATATATTAGTATTGCTACTGGTTTTTCTTGCTTACTTTTGATGGGAAAATACGGTAGAAGAAAAGCTATCGTGGACGGGAATCCCATTGTTATGATTGCACGATAGATTAAGACCCTTTTGATTTATCAGAGTTATTTTAGTTAAGTCAGTATTATGCATTTGTATTTTGTATATAATCAAAATCAGGTTACTATCATATTCTAATGCATTTGATTTTTGAGTGACATCATATTCTCATGCATTTGATTTTTGAGTGAGAATTAAGTTAGGGATTTCGTTAAGTAAATGAAATTAATTAAGTGGTTAAAGAGAATGTTATTCTCTATATATCTTGTAGACACCCGTTTTTGACCGGGATTAAAAAATGTTATAAATATTAATTATATATTATTATTATATCATTAATATTATTATTACATTTTTGTTGCAGGCCCAATATAACCCGAGCCTAAACATCCATGATTGCAAGCAAGGAGGAAATGCTATGGTGAGGACTTCCCGAAGCATTATGCTTGGTGAACCATATCGGATGGCGATGATGTATCCATCTTTGGCGGTAGCCGTGTTTGGGTAGATCATAACTCCTTGTCAAAATATAATGATGGTCTGGTTGATTCCATTCATAGGTCCACCGCAATCACCATATCAAACAACTATATGACTCACCATGATAAAGTCATGCTCGTGGGGCACAGTGATTCCTACATTCAAGACAAGAACATGCAAGTCACAATAGCAAAGGGGAGAGGACAAAATATCATTAATAATGAGCCAACCACTACATTGAAAAACCGTTTAAAAAACAAATAAATCCCGGATAATCCGGGATTTAACCTGCTACAACCAGATTTCATCGATCAAAGTCATCACCAAATTATTGACTTGCAACCATAAAAGGGCAGAGAACAACGAGCAAAAGAAAGGGGTGGCAGGCAACAAAACACAAAAACCAGAGGAAGGCACGACTTTTCAACGGTAACAAAGAGCAAGTAAGAAACATGAAAAGAAAGCTTTGTTCTTGTAACGAGGGTATTGTGAAACCCACATAAACAGTGTAACCGGGGTCTTCCCCGTTTTCATCTAAAGCAATACAAAATTTATAAAGGTATTCTTTCATTTCATTTTTTACTTTACAGTGCTTGTGTGCGTGTGTATGGAATTGAAACGCAAATAATAAAACAAAATAGGAGATAAAAGCTCACCGAAATTGTCTGAGCCTTAAGCGTTAGGTTGGCAGCGTCGGATTCCATAGTTTTAGATAGAGGTAAATAAAAAAGAAAGGGTTAGAATAAAACCAAGAGTGAGCCAGGTTAGGGGTGTCATCTCGTTTAAGGTTGTTTGATCGGGCTTCTCGGGCTGGTTCGATGTAGGTCGGAGCAGCGGCGTTGGGAGGTAGTTGTTGAAATCCACGACTGTGTGATGAATGTTGAAAAATAAGAGGAAAAGAGCAAAGAGGGGAACGGCGCCTCTTGTGAGCGTGAAGAAGATGACAGGGGAAGAGGGGAAGAGGAGAAGTGGTACAGAGAAAAGGGGGAATGCTTTGAGTTAATGATATGGTAAATATTAGTTTTAGGGTTATATTTATTTAATATGCTGGTTGTTTGTCCCCAAATATCCTTATATTTTAATCACTTCTTTTCCTGTTTAAGTATATAAATCTATTATATATATATGAATATTTATGCGTGCATATAAATAACATGCGCTATGATTACATATTATATTATTTGCTGCATTATGTGTAAGCATTATGTGTAGGCATATAAAACACGTGTAGCTTCATTATGCCATGTTTCAATGACATGTATATAAACCATTTAGATTATATTTATTATTTTATAAACATGATTTATTATTTTGTAAACGTCATTCTTCTTTCTAAAAGATTGTTTTTCAATGATAAGGTATAGAGTTTGATTGATTGTAACACCCCAATTTAGGGGTTAAATTTAAGAAATTATAAAGTGGTGAATTTAATTGGTATTTTTGGAAGGAATCAGGGATTAAATTGTAAGATTTCAAAGTTGGCAGATCGTTTTATGAAGTGCAGGAAGTTCAGTGACTAAACTCTTGGTTTACCCATTGTTTATATATGTTGAATTATAAACTCTTCCCCCGTGCGCAGTTCAGCATATTTTCCAGATTTCCCTTCTCCAACAACCCAACTTCCACCTCCGATCTACTCGCCGTCCGACCTCCAAACGACGAGCCGAAACCACCATCGTGTTCGTTGTCAACCGAGGAACAAAACCCCTCAAACCTTTCGTCGTTAATCATCGCCGTTCGTCATGAATTTCAGTCAGAAGTATCATCGGTAATAACTTGGTTTTAGTTGGTTTTTCATCGATTCACGACGATCGGGTCATCCGTTTACGACACCTCCCGCACCATCGTGTTCGTTGCATCGTTCCGAGTTCGCCGGTGTCATCCTTGGTCTCCGTCGACGGCAGCACGTGAGGAGGTGAAGCGGTCAAAGTTTCCGATTTGTTGAAATCGAGCTCTCCGCCGTTCAAAATTGTGAACCGAGCTTTGTAAGTATCTCGAAATTGCTCAAAATAATTTTTAGAAATTTTTCCGGGATTTTAGCACTATTCACGCGCCCCCACGCTCCGTCACTGCGCGTGGGGAAGAAAAAATGACCGGTTTGACCGGTTTTGGTGCATAGTTGACCGGTTTGACCGGTCATAACCCAACCCGAACCGTTGACCCGACCCGTTGACCGTTGACCCGTTGACCGTTGACCGGTGTTGACCACTGTTGACTAAAACTTTGACTGGCTTTGACCGAGCATTAAACGACCTTTGTTTTTGATCGAGTATATCTATCCTGACATTTTTCGACGTTCCAAATCTGATTCCGTTGTCCGTTTTTCAAAATTCGAACCCGAAGACCTCGAAATTGCTGGTCAAACCCGTTGACTTTTATTTTGACCGAAAATTCCAAATTTCTGAAAAGTCATATTTTATGCTTTCGACGTCCTGAATCCGAATCCGAAGTCTGTTTCTCCAAATTTGAACCCGGTAAGCCATCTTTCACTGATTTATCACCCGATTCGATCCGTTTATCGTAATTAAGCTCCGTTTCTGATATAATTTCTGTTTATATGGATCCGAGGAAATATTGGAAGTTGAATTGAAGATCAAAGGTGTTCGAATGGAATTTTTATGGTCGATCAGTATTGCACGGAAATCGAGGTAATACTTTACTACCTCTTTATGCTTTATAGAACATGTTGGTATTGGTAAATGCATGAATGGAAATGTTTGGTCTCATATGTGTAGTTAATGAAGTTCTACACTCGATCTGAATACGGTAAAAAGGTTCAGTAATTGATTATGGTTCAGATGACTTTTATAAGAAATTGAGGGATTGTTAGAATTAAATTACAAGTTCTGTGCTTAGTGATAAAGAAATTAACATGGGTTTGTAACTTATAGTTTATTTCATCAAAGGTTAAATGTTAAAGGTACTTGGATGGGAAATTATGATAATACTCTGGTAGGATAAAATTACGAAAATACCCTTAAGTTGGAAAATGACAAGAATTGTCTCTGGAAGTGGATTAATAAATCTGAAAAGAATTATTGATCTGCTAAAACTATTGATGTGCATAAGAAATGTTAGTTTTACTTGGAAATTATGGATAACCGGTTTTTAACCCCAAGAAGGTTTATGCTAGATACTAGAAGCCTTTTAAGGAATTATTTCAAGATCAAAGAATGTTCGAGGAAGCAATTAATCATAGGATCTCTATATTATATTATTTTCGTTAAGAGCTAATATCGAAATTATCTGGTTAAGAAATTACGAAAATGCCTTAAGAGGTAGAATAGTCTGAGTTGACTCTGAATGAGAAAATACTTAGAGGATTCGTACGTAACTCGATTAAGTACGGATTTGATTGTTAAAATCCTGACTTAGTGCAGGAAAATTCATGATGTTCCGTTTGTATAATCTGAGAAGGCACTTGACCTGGAAATATCCGAGTTATGAGTAAATACCTGAAGAACAATTTGTCGGGGGTGTTCTGTTGTCAGAATTGTTCGAAATGACTGAAATAAATGATAAGATTGAATTTAATAGTAAGATCAGACGGAAGGAAATGATTGAAATACCGTGGATCTGTACAATGACCAAAATACCCCTGTAATGGAAATGACCCAAGAATATCACCAAGCTCAGGAATGATTGAATATCCTTGAGCTCTGAAATGAATGGAATAAAATTGAACATCAAAATTACCAAAATACCCTTATGGCCTAAATTAAGTAAATATCTTGGATTAATTAAGGAATCCAAGTAAGCATGGGTATTGGACTACCTTTAAAGGTAATGGAAAATAATTTAAGTGAGTAGATCAACCCTAAAGCTATGTCAATACCTGAATGACATAGATATTACTGGAACATGTGTTCGTCTTCTCAAGTTTGGCTCGATGACAAATTTTGGAAGTATTCAGTTCAGCTCAGATCTAGATCATATTCAGTACTAGGAATTGGACGTTTGTTCGGCAAATCAACCACGAAGACCAAATTGAATGGAATGGAAGTACAACATGTATCTGAAATTCAGGAACGTTTAAATTATTCTGGAAAATCCCGAAGTAACTGGATTG